TTCTGATCACCTCAGCGCTCGGCACCTTCCCTCGCGCACAGCCCCGACTGGTAGCCCCGACTGGTGGGTATGGCCAGCGCACCCAGGGCTTCCCCACACGACTGGACCGCCTAAGACCGAACCATGGGCGCCCAGGCCTCCGCGCCGGAGCACCCGAAGAAACGCGCGAGCGGCCGGTCGACGACGCCCCCGCCGCCGCCCCCCAAGCCCCTCTTCAAGCAGCACCCGAACTCGCCCCTGGAGCTGCGCTGGCGCGAGGCCCTCGCCGCGAGCCAGGCGAACGAGATGCGGCGGCGCGCGTCCGTGCGCGTGGCCGCGGACGTCGAGGCGGACCTCGTGTCGAACCGCATCGAGATGCTCCGGGAGCGGCTCGGCGCGCCGCCCGCGTTCGTCGAGGCCGTCCTCGAGGACCGGAGCCTCGGCGACTGGGACCACGTCGTCGTCGCGCTCGAGCGCAAGGAGCTCGAGCTCCGGGAGACGGGCCGGGGCGCGGACGACGCGGAGATGGAGGGGCTCAAGCGCTGGCTCGACGCGCTCCACTCGGAGCGGCCGCCCGCGGCGGCGCCTAGCCGCCAGTCCTCCGGCGACGACTCGGGCCGCGGCGCCTGGTCCTGCGAGCTCTGCGGCAAGCGGAAGACGCTCCACCGCATGGCCGGGCCCGACGGGCCGAACACGCTCTGCAACGCGTGCGGCACGCGCTACGCCAAGGGCCGGCCGCCGCCGCTCGTCGCCGCGCGGCTCGAGGGCCTCGAGAAGCGCCTCGGCCGGCCCCCGGCGGCCGTGCGGGCCATCCTCGCGGGGAACCCGGACGCGGAGACGGCCCTCGCGGCGCTCGAGGCGCGCGCGCGCGAGCTCCGCGGCGGCGCCGGCGACGCGGGCGACGCCCGGGGCGGGAAAAGTGTGCTTCAACGTCGCTTCAACATGAGGGTTCCGCGCGCGACTGTTCCAGAGAAACGATCCACGCGTCGAGAGCGCTCCGAGAGATCATCGCTCGTCCAAGAATGAGCCGAAACGAGTGGAACATGACCGAGATGGGAGCCTTTGAAGTTGGGAATTTCGCACTCTTCAGGCGACGCCGCGGGCGTCGAGCGGTGGCGCGCGGCCCTCGAGGCGCTCCTCGGGCCCGCCGCCGCCGGCGGCCCCGCGGCGGCGGCCGTCTCCGACGACGAGCGCGCCGCCGCGCCGCCGGGCGCGGCCGCGGAGACCGCGCGCGCCGCCGCGTCCGGCATCGAGGGCGCGTCCGGGATCGAGGGCCGCCTCGCGGAGCTCGAGGGCGCGCTCGCGGCGCGCGACGAGGCCCAGGCGAAGCACGCCGACGACCTCCGCGCGCTCCAGGGCCAGCTCGCCGCGCAGCGGCGCGCGAGCGCGCGCCTCGAGGCCGAGCTCAAGACCCAGCGCGGCGCCGCGCGCGAGCCGGACGAGTCGCCGTGGCGCCTCGTCGGCGCCGCCGACGCGCCGCCGAGCCCCCCGCCGCGGTGGCCGTTCCGCGACGTCGAGTTCTCGCGGCCGCGGCCCGTGTCGCCCCTGTCGCAGCTCCGGCTCCTCGTCTGCGCCGGCGGCATGGGCGAGGAGCTCTTCTGCGCCGGCGACCTCGGGACCGACTTCGTCTGCACGCGCCAGGCCGAGGGCTTCGACCGGCCGCCGGAGGACCACGGCGCCTGCGGCGCCGACGCGCCCTACCTCTCGCGCGACGGGGACCACGTCTACGAGGACCTCGACGTCGAGATCCCCCTCACGGTCGAGGAGCGCGACCTCCAGCCCCAGGCGCCCCGGCGGACGGCCGTCAGCGAGACGGACTACGACCCGCGCGGCCCGGGCGACGCCCGCGTCATGGAGAGCGAGTACGACCCGCGGAGCTTCTACTGAGGAGGAGCCCCCTAACCTGTGCCTCTGTCACACGTCCCAAAAACGGCACCGTGAACGGCAAATTGAAGCTTCGGGACGAACAAGATGGCGGGGCTGCTCGTCGTCGCGGCTTTCCTCGTCGGCGTCGCGTCGGGGCGGCGCCTCGGCGTGGCCGTGGCCGACGACGCGTCCTACGCCGTCACGCTCGACGGCGCCGCCTGGCTGCGGTCGGCGCCGCTGGCCGTGTTCGTGGACGGCCGCTGGTGGACGGGCGCGGACCTGCGGCGCGACGGGCCCGTGGCCCGCCGCGGCGGCGCCGCCACGCAGCGGTGGATCGCGAACGCGACGACCGTCGAGACGGCCGTCGTCGACGCGGGCGACGACGTGCTCGTCTTCGAGACGCGGTTCCCGAACGGCGCGGCCGGCACGCGGAGCGGCGTCGCGGACGTGCCCGGCGGCTGGACGGGCGACAAGGCGCGGCGCGGCGTCGGTTCCGTGTGTTTCCGCGTGCCATCGTGGTTCTTTTAGGGCCTCTTCGCGCCGATCGCGGGCCACCCGGCCGTCGACTTCGGCGGTTCGATGCCCCGCGCGGTGACGTGGCAGAACAACTTCGTCGAGCAGCAGGTCGGCGTCGACGACCTGAACCGCGGCGTCTTCGGCGGGCCCGTCGTCCTCCTCGACGGGGGCGACGCCGTCGTCTTCGGGTCGACGGCGGACCACGCGAAGCACTGGGCCACGTACCAGAACGGGTCCTCGTGGGCGCTGGGCCCGAGCTCGGAGCTCCTGGCGCTGCCCGCGAACTTCTCCTTCCGCACCGTCGTCGCGCGCGCCCGCGGCGTCACGGCGGCGGTCAAGAAGTACGGCGACTGGGTGCTCCGCGACGCGAAGACGGACCGGGCCGCGGCCCTGGCGGCGGACGTCGTCGTCAACGGCCTGGGCTACTGGACGGACAACGGGGCCGTCTACTACGGCGACGCGTGGAAGCACGACCTGGCCGCCATGGCCGCGCCGCACGCGACGATGGAGGCCGCGGCCGTCGCCGTCGCGGACGCGCTGCGGCGGGACGGCGTCGCGCTCGCCTACTGGCAGTGGGACGACTGGTGGTACCCGGGCGAGGCGGTCTACGTCGACTGCGTCGACGCGTGGACCATGCTCCCGCGCGCGTTCCCGTCCGGGGGCCTCGCGGACATGCGCCGGCGCCTCGGCGTGCCCTTCCTGCTCTACATGCCCTACGTCTGCCGGAACGCGTCCGGCTTCGGTAATTGGACGTTCCTCACGCCCGACGACTGCGGCTGGGACTGCGAGGGCACGCTCGTCGACGCGCGCGAGTCCGAGGCGTTCCACGGCGCGCTCTTCGAAAAGTACGGCGAGGCGACGAGCGACCGGGGGCTCGTCGCGTACGAGCAGGACTTCATGGTGACGAACTTCTTGAAGACGCGCAAGTACCGTCAGGTGCTCGGCGAGTACGAGCGCTGGTTCGCGGGCATGGCCGCGGCCGCGGCGGACCGCGAGATCCCGCTCCAGCTCTGCATGGCCATGCCGTCCGACGCCATCCTCGCGGCCAAGGCGGACTGGGCGACGAACGCGCGCGCGTCCGACGACTACGCGCTCCCGTCGAACCTGCCGTCGTTCGGCGGCGGCGCGTTGCTGCTCTGGGCGCTCGGGCTCCGGCCGTCGAAGGACACCTTCTGGACGACGTCGAACTCGTCGAAGCGCGCCTACGCGCCGGGCGCGAACCCCGGGACGAACGTGGAGCTCAACGCCATCGTCGCCGCGACGTCGACGGGGCCCGTCGGCATCGGCGACGCCGCGGGCGAGACGGACGCGGCGCTCGTCGCCCGGACGTGCGCCGCAGGCGGCGCGCTGCTCCAGCCGGCGAAGCCCCTGACGCCCCTGGACCGCACCTACGCGGCCTCGTGGCGCGGCGGCGAAGCCTGGGGGTCCCACGTCGCCGCGGGGTCCTCCGCGGCGTACCTGACGCTCGCGTTCTCCGTGGGCGGCAACGCGACGCTCGCGGCGGCCGACTTCTACCCCGCGGCGGCGGCGCGGGACTGGGTCCACCGCGCGTGGCACGCGGCGCCCTGCGCCGACGGCGCCGACGCGCTCGCGTCGGGCTGCGTGACCGCGGAGTTCCCGGCGCTCGGGCCGTCGACGGACCGCGGCGGCGGGCGGCCCTACGACTACTGGCTCTCCTACCCGGCCGACGGCGCGACGTGGCTGCTCCTCGGCGAGCTCGACAAGTTCGTGCCCCTCGCCGGCCGCCGCTTCGCGAAAGTCACAGAGACCGGCGCGCGCCTCGACGTCGCGCTCCGCGGCTCGCCCGGGGAGGTCGTCGCCGTGACGGCGCTCGAGCGAAACGGCGGCGGCTGGACGGCCCGCGTCCGCGAGGTCACCTTCGAGACGGGCGACGCCGCCCTCGCCTTCGGCTCCTAATTACGCGTTCCTCGGTCGCCCCGGGGCCCGGCCCGACGGCGCGCGCGGACCCGCGCCGGCGCGCGCGGAGCCACGTCCGCGCCGGCGCGCCCGCGCCTAGGGCTGCTTGACGTTGCCGTTCTCGTCGAGGCCGAACTCCTCCCAGAGCTCCGGCGCGAGCACGTCTTTGAGATCGTAGCCCTCCCCGACTGTGAACGGGGACGGCGTGGCCTTGCCGAACCGGTCCACCTTGTACTCTATGCCGGAGCCCTCCATCTCCCAGTCCTCGTCGTCGCCGCACCGATCCTCGTCGGACCGCCGCTTGCCGTAGGCGCGCAGCGGCGCGAGGCGCGGCGCGGCGCTGCTTTGGAGGGTCGCCGTCCGCGGCGCGTGGAGCGCCGCGACGGGCGCGACGCAGAGCGCCGCGGCGATGAATGTAGTAGCGTGCATGCTGCGACGAGTTTGCACTCGTTGGTCGCCTGCCGCGCGGCGAGACGGCTGGTGACAGTGTCAAATCCTTCGGCTGCGCGCGGACCTCGATGGATGGGCTCGGCCCGGGGATCCGGAGCTTTCTCCGGAGGCGTACTCGACGCGGTACGCGCGAGCGCGTCGCAACCGCGCCGAGACAGGCCGGAGACAGCGCGAGGCCTCCGCCGCGCGCCTCCGCGATGCGCCACACGTACGCGGCGACGACGCCCCGAGGGCGGAAGCGCGCCGCGCCTCCGAGTACTCTATGCCCTCCGGCGCGGCCGCGATGTACGAAGCGCGAAGGGCGGGGCGCGCGCTCAGACGTAGGGCGGCGGCTGCGACGCGGCGGGCTGCGCGTAGACGGGCGGCGGGGCGCCCTGCTGCACGACGACGGGCGGGGGCTGCTGGACCACTGCGGCGGGGCGCGGCGCGGCGCTCTCGGACGCGCGCGCGCGCGGGCGAAGCCTCGGGCGCCGGCGCCGCGCCGTAGACGGGCTGCGGTTGTCGCGGCGGCGGCGGCGGCGGCGGCTCGCGGAAGCACATGGCGCAGAGGCCGCAGAGGCAGATCATCTCGCACAGCAGCCCAAAGGGGCCGAAGCCCGGGCCGTGGCCTAAATCGCGCGCGTCCCGGGGCCGGCGCCTCTCGCGCGCGCGCACCGAACCCATGGCCGTGGCCGAACCCGTGGCCGTGCGCGCCCTTGCCCATGGTGCTGCTGTTGCAATTGGGGGCTGCGGACAATGCGGACGCTTTGGATGGCGCAGCGTGTTGCTCGACTATTGTTGCAGCAACATCTACCTGATGGGTGTTTGAACCGCTTTTGAAGTTCTGTGAGATTTGGCGCCATCGTACCTCACGGCCTTCGGACGCGTCAAACCCGCAAACCACACGCCTCGAACCTCAGCCGGTGCATCCATCAAAAAGCGCGACGCCCCCGCGAGCGACGATGATCGGCACGGTCGTCCACGAGCAGTCGGAGAGCCTCTGGGCGAGCGACGACTACGGCCATTGGGACCCCGCCGACGCCTTCTCCGACGGCGCGTCCGACGCGTCGGACGACGACGCCGCGTCCCGCGCGCGCGGCGCGTCGCCGCCGGTGCCCATCACGCCCCGCGACGACAAGGGCACCGACGACAAGGAGAACCGGCCGCCGCACGTCTCGCCCGACTCGGTCGCGGACCTCGACCGCGCGCTCGACGCCTTCGACGCCGCCGACGCCGAGGTCGCGGCCATGGGCCTCGGCGGGTCTCGCGGCGCGGCCTCGTTCCGCGAGGCGTCCGACGCCATGGGCCTCGGCGGGTCTCGCGGCGCGGCCTCGCTCCGCGAGGCGTCCGCGCGGCGCTCGGACCCCTACGCGATGGCGTCGCGCCTCGCGCGGCTGCCGTCCGACGCCATGGGCCTCGGCGGCCGCCACGCGTGCGCGAACTCGTTCCGCGAGTCGTCCGCGGCGCTCCTCTCGCCGCCGGCGTCGCCGCGCGTCCGGTCCGAGCCCGCGTCGCCGGACTGGGCGCGGACCCGCGGCGGCGACCTCCGCGACCTCATCTTCTCCCTCGACGACCACGCGGACCCGCGCGAGGTCCGCGGCTCCTGCGCGCGCTGCGGCGACCCCGTGCTCCGGAGCCAGCGGCGGTCGCGCACCGGCCGGACCTACACGCACGAGTGCTGCCCGCGGCTCCTCGCCGTCGCCGCCGAGACGGGCCGCCTCCACGCGGAGGCGCTCGCCGTCGAGGCCGAGGAGCGCGCGCGGCCCGCGGGCGCGCTCGACGTCGCCTTCAAGAAGCTCTCCTTCTCCCGCTACACGGACGACCGCCCGGGCCACTTCCCCGACGCCGACTGGGACGTGCCCGTCCGCGACGACTGGAAGCTCCCCGCGTCCCTCTAGGCGCCCGACTCCGTCCCCCGAAGTCCCCCGACACCACCCCCGGCGGCGTCTGCCCCGGAAGACCCCCGAACGCGCGCGACGATAAGACCCGCGAGCCCCGCCGGATGCTCGAGGATAAGGAGGTCGTCGACGGTTAGTCAGCGGCCGTGCGCCGCCGGCTGCTCGGGCGCCGCCGGCTAGCTCGGTTCACCGAGGTACCCCGCGAACCCCCCGGATACCACCGTCGAACCCCCGGACGAGCACCACCGTCGAGCTTAGACCCGCGCCTCGATCCGCGGCGCGTGCGCGCGACAAAACGTCCGAGCTCCCGGCGCTCGCGGCGGCGTCGTCATCGCTTCTTGCCCGACGGCATCTTCTTCTCCGTGAAGAGCACGTGCTGGCGCACGACCTGCGGCGGGGCTCCGTCGGTCCGCCCGGCGTCGTCGGCGCCGCGGCGCGCGCGCGCGCGCTCGTCTCGGCGCCGGCGGGCGCACGGGATCGTACTTGACGAACTGGAGCTTGTGCAGCGTCTTCTGCGGGTTCTTGCGCGTCGTGTAGAAGAAGCCCGTGCCCGCTTCGCTGAGCAGCCGGATCAGGACGGCCTTGCCCTTTTGGCCCATCGCGCGGTGTGTTCTTTTGTCGCGCGCGCGTCCCCGGACGTGGACCGCGGACCGCGCGCGCGCGTCGGCGGCGTCGGCGCGGCGCGGGGCTCGGCGGGCTCGTCGCCTCGCTGGCTGAGGGCCGCGGAGGAGCTGCCACAAGGCCAGCTCGACAAGGGGGGGGTTTGCTCCGTAGTGGCGCCCCGGCCGACCCCTCCAGCGCAGCGACGCGGTACTCGAAAGTCACGATCTTGAGCGCGATCGAACCTTCATAGTACCGTCGACTCGGAAACCAAGGGGCACGTCCAACACCATCGATGGTGGCGAGATCGGTTGTGCCGGATTTGTCCGTAGGAGCGCGGTGGACGAGCGAGGCCCGTAGGGTGGATTTTGGACCGACACCGAAACGGCGTCTCCGGCACTCACCAACCGTCCAGGGCGACGCCAGGGGTCATGGGGCGTCGCCCCGACCACAAAAAGCGACCGTTCTGCACCTATACGCAGCGCATGGCTGGCGCGTATACGCGCGTATTCGTACGTAGGCGGTCCTTTTTCGAGGATATTGTGCCGAGATCGTCGAGTTAGAAAGAGCTTGCTTCACGCGAGCGTAGCCACCGGACCTCTCCCGGCGCATGCAAAAAAGAGTGACTTTAGACGCCGCCGTCGCGCGACGGCGCCGACCTTGCCGGAGCAACCCCCCCCATCTCGACACCGTGCCGCTGCAACCAGCGCCGCCGTCGAGTGCTGCCGTCGACGGACCCCGCCGATGGCCGCGCAGAGTGCGTCGTCGGAGCCGCACGCCCTCGACGCGCTCTGGGCGACCGTGGAATCGCGGCGCGGCGCCGACCCGTCGTCGAGCTGGACGGCCAAGCTGCTCAGCAAAGGCGTCAACAAGTGCGCCCAAAAGGTCGGCGAGGAGGCGACGGAGGTCGTCATCGAGGCCGCCGTCGGCAACAAGGCCGGCGTCGTCTCCGAGTCCGCCGACCTGCTCTACCACCTCGAGGTCCTGTGGGCCGCGACCGGCGTCGCGCCCGCGGACGTCTGGGCGGAGCTCGCGCGCCGCGAGGGCGTCTCCGGCGTCGCCGAGAAGGCGAGCCGGCCGAAGAACTAGGGCGCCGTAAGCGTCGGTCGCTTCGTCGCGGATGACCCGCGCTTTCGTCGCGGTCTCGCGCGTCGACGGGCGCGCGCCGGTCCGCCCCGGGACGCGGGCGCGGTGGTCGCTACGTCACGTCTGACTCGCGCGCCGCGCGTAGTCGCGCTTTTGCGCCTCGACGAGCGCGGGCCGGTGGGCCTTGTCCCAGGGCTGGGGCGGGAGCTCGAAGAACGGCGCGGCCTCGGCGTCACCGAGGGACACGTAGGGCCCCCAGAAGCCGCGGTAGGCCGCGTCGATTTTGGCGACGTGGCCGCGGACCGCGGTCTCGTTCTTCCAGACCGCGTACTTGGGCGTCGTGTACGCCGTCTCCGCGGCCGCATTGAACCGCGCGACGAGGTCCGCGAGCACGTCGGGCCTCTCGTTCGAGACGTCGCGCGCCTCGCCGGCGTCCGCGTCGAGGTCGAAGAGGCAGCCCCGGCCCGCCCGGACGTCGCCGCAGATGAATAAAACGGGCGCCGGCGCGGACCCGTTCGGGTACGTCGGGCCGTTGTGGACGGCGCTCCGCTGGTTGTTGAAGAGCGCCTTCCACTTGCCGACGAGGATGCCGCCGCCGGAGCCGGGCATGCCGTCGCGGCTCGGCACGGAGAGCACGAGCTCGCCCGCGCGCGGGCCCGTCTTCGACGCGCCGGTGATGAGGGGCCACGCGCTCCGCGAGTCGACGGGCGGCAGCCCCGCCGCTGCCGCTGTGGTGTCAGTGATGCTTGTGATGCCTGCAGCATCGGCGACCGTCGCGTACCAGTCCGCGATGGACAGCCGCTGCGCGTGCGACATCGAGCTCCACGCCGCGCATGCGGTCCGGCAGCCGGCCGCCGGCGACGAAGCAGACGCCGCGGACGCCGCCCTCGAAGTCGCTGTACTTGCCGCCGCGGAGGGGCCAGTTGTTGCCGCTGTCCGCGTCGAAGCCGACGGCGCCGCCGTTGTCCGTCGCGAAGACGACAAGCGAGTCGCGCCACATGCCCCGCGCCCGGAGCGCGGCCTCGACCTGTGCCGAATTCAACCACTGGTTTGGGTGGTCCTGACCAAACTTGAGAATTCTCTAGCTCGATCAAATCGAAGTCGATTCGGCTGATTTTTGGACGAATCGATGGCTCTCCTCGAGTTCTCGAAGCACAGCCGAAGAGCTTGCGTCGAAACTGTCGCATATGCGCACATTGAAGTCGAGTTGAAGATTTGAATTCGGCACAGGCCTCGACGCGGCCGACGGAGTCGTCGACGAAGGACGCCATGGCCTCGTACTGCGCGCGCCGCCGCGCGGCGTGCGCGGGCTCGTTCGGCGCGCCGTTGCGCTCGAAGAACGCCCACGCGCTGTCGTCGCCGGGGTCGACGCCGTCGAACGCGGCGTACTTTTTCAGGAACCGCCGCGGCGCCTGGAGCGGGTCGTGGACGCACTGGTACGCGAAATAGGCGAAGAAGGGCCGCTCCCGCGGGTGGTTTCGCACGAGCGACTCGAAGCGCCGCGTGTAGAGCTCGTCGCCGTAGTATTTTCCTTCGAGCCCCCGCGCGGGGCCGCCGCCGTCCGGCGTCTTTTCGGTGCCGTCGTCGAACCAGAGGTCGACGAGGTCGTGGCGCGCCTCCGCGCGCCGCTGCGTCCAGTGGTCCTCGGCGCCGGCGAAGTAGCCGAGCCACGTGTCGAAGCCGCGGTACGTCGGCAGCAGCTAGGAAGTGCGTCGCGTAGCCCTTCTCGCGCCGCAGGAGCTTCGGTAGGAGCGTGAACCCGAGGCTGACGCCGCCGCCGGGGTGGCGGTTGTTCGGGTTCGCCTGGTTGACGTGGTGCGCGAGCCGCCCCGTGAGCAGCGCGCTCCGCGACGGACTGCACGTCCGGTAGCAGTAGTGCCGCGAGAGCCGGAGGCCGTCGACGGTCGCGAGGCGGTCGAGCGTCGGCGTCGACACCTCGGCGTTGCGCCAGCCGACGCCGTGCCAGCCGAGGTCGTCGACGAGGAGGATCGACACGTGCGGCGGCGCGGGCCCGGCGCGCGGCGCCGGCGGCGCGTCCGGCGGCGCCGGCGGCGCGTCCGCCGGCGCGTCCGCCGGCTCCGGCGGCTCCGGCGCCGTCCGCGGCGCCGCGGCGGCCCGTGCCGGCGCCGCGGCTTTGTCCGGCGGCCGGAGCGCCGCGACGTCGCGCCGGAGCGCCGCGGCTTTGTCCGGCGGCCGGAGCGCCGCGACGTCGCGCCGCAGCGCCGCGACGTCCCGCCGGAGCTCGAGGCGCAGCGCCGCGTTCTCGGCGCGAAGCTCCGACGCGAGCCTCGCGTCCTGGGACGTCTCGCGGTGGACGTAGTAGGTCTGGAAGAGCTGCAGCGCCAGCACGGCGAGCAGGCACGACGCGAAGGCCGAGGCGCGAACCATCGTGCACGGACCGAGGGGCAGCCCCACTTCAAGTTGGCAAAGCAATGTTCGTTTGCCTTCCTTTGTGGCAATTCGAGCAGCGACGCGCCGCGCCGCGCAGCGCCGGCGCCATGATCGCGGCGCGCGACGTGTCGTCGAACTGGAAGACGATCCCCTGGAACCGCGTCTTCGGCGGCGAGATCGTCGCGGACCGCCTCTTCCTGCGGTCGGCGCTCATCCGCAAGGACCTGCTGCCGCGCTACTGCCCGGCGCACGCGCCCGTGACGCACGCGCTCGCGTCCGGTGCGGAGGCCGCGGCCGTCGAGGCGGCCGGTTTGCGCGCGCCGACGTGCCTGAACCCGTCCGGGCTGGCCTACGCGACGCGCTGGGTCGTGAAGCCGAGCGACAGCAGCAACGCCTTCGGCGTCCGGTTCTGCGACTTCGAGGCCGGCGCGCTCGAGGCGTGCGTCGCCGGCGCGCTGGCGCTCGAGCGCGACGCGTGCTGGGTCGCCCAGGCCTGCGTGCCGTCGCTGCCGCTCCTGGAGCGGGGCCACAAGTTCCACCTCCGGTGCCTCGTGCTCTTCTGCGGCGATTTGGACGTCTTCGTCTACGACGACGCGCGCGTGCTCGTCGCGCCCGTGCCCATGGACGACCCGGGCGACCACGCGCACGTGACGAACCGGAGCTTCAACAAGGAGCACGCGGCCTACGTCGCGGCGACGCACAACGTCGCGCTCGCCGACTGCGCGGCGCTCGGCGACGGCGCGGCCTGGGGCGACCGCGGCGGCGCGCTCAAGCAGGTCCGGGCCATCACGGCGACGCTGGCGAAGGCCCTCGTCGCCCACGCCGCGGACATGGCGGCGGCGCGGGGCGCCGCGGCCGCGGGCGACGCCGCGGGCGCGGAGGCCGCGGGCGACGCCGCGCGCGTCCCGGGCGCGGAGGCCGCGGGCGACGCCGCGGGCGCCGCGGACGCGCCGCCGCCGCCGCCGCCCGGCGCGGGCAAAAAACCGCAGCGCCACTTCTTTGCGCTGCCCAACGCCTACGAGCTCTTCGGCTTCGACTTCATGGTCGACGACGGCATGCGCGTCGTCCTCCTCGAGGCGAACCCGGAGCCGTCCATGGACATGTGGGGCAAGACGAAGGACGAGATTTTGCGCGGAAAGTGCCCCGTCACGGACGGCGTCCCCCGGTCCGACGAGCGGACGGGCTTCACGAAGGTCTACTCGAAGCGGTTCGAGGCCGCGCTCGCGATGATGCGCGAGGAGAAGCGCCGGGCCAAGGCCGCGGCCGCGGCCGCGGCGCCCTAAGAGATTTTGGCGGTCATACGCTTACGTTAGGCGCCCTTGTCCTCGACCTTGGTCATGGCGGAGAGGAGCAGGTCGAGCGGCGACGCCGCGGGGGGCTTCGGCGGCTCCGGCGCCTTCTTCTTCCGCGGCGTCTTGCCCCGCGGCGCCTTCTTCGCCGGCGCCGGCGCCGGCGCCGGCGGGCAGAGCCGGCAGGCCGGCGGCGGCCCCGGCGCCGCGAGGCACTTGCGGTGCGCGACGTGGCCGCAGGGGAACGCGTCGAGGAGCTCGAGGTGCGCGAAGACGTCGCCGCCGCAGACGGCGCAGGCGCAGGCGACGTCGGCCTCGGGCCGCCGGTGCGCCGGGTCCGGCGCGGCCTCGTAGGGCATCGCGCCGTCGCCGCAGACGTGGACGAACGGCGGCTCGCGGCTGCACGGCCGGCCCCGGGGCGCGGGGACGCACGCGCGGCAGCGCATGCAGTGGAAGGCGTCGACGCCCAGGCCCTTGCCCGGGTGCCGCGCGTCGCAGTAGGGGCAGTGGTAGGACTCGGCGGCGGGGCACGCCTTTTCGCCGCCGCGCGCGCGCTTCCGCGGCCGCTTCTCGGAGCCGTCGGACCCCGAGCTCGAGTCGTCGTCGCGGTTCGCGGCCCCGCCGAGCTTCGCGAGCCACTGGCGGAAGTTCGTGCCCTGGGCCACGGCCGACATCGTCGCGAGCATGTGGCGCGCCTGCGGCGGTTCCAAATTCGGCACGACGATCTCGAGCGTCGCGACGGTCTCCTCGGCGCCGCGGCTGCCCATGATGGCGCCCGTGAGCTGGAGCAGCTCCGCCCGGCTGAAGGCTTTGCGCAGGCGCGGCAGCTGGTTCTCCTCCTCCTCGAGCATGTGGTCGCAGAGCGTCTCCTTGAGCCGCCCGAGCGCCTGCCGCGCGGCCGCGAGCGTCCCGGCGGCGGCGGCGCCGCCGGCGCCGGCGGCCTCGCGCGCGGCGTCGAGGGCCGCCCGCGCGTCGTCGAGCCGCCGCCGCTCCAGCGCGTGCGCGCCGTCGTCGTCGTCGGACACGGCGTTCGCGGCCGCGGCGTCGCGGCCGCCGCAGCGGTCGCGCGCCTCGCGCAGCCGGAGCGCGGGGAAGAGCAGCTCGTCCTCGGCGGCGCCGTGGCTCACGAAGATGCGGGCGAAGCGCGCGTAGCGGGCCGCGCACCCGGCGAGCGCCGCCTCGTCGCCGGGGCCGTCGCAGACCTCGTCGACGAGGCTGCTGAGCTCGCACCGCAGGGCGCGGTGGAGCTGGAGGATCTCGATGAGGGGGTCGCTCACGAGCTGCGCCGCGCGGCCCACGGCCTCGGCGGAGTCGTTGGAGACGTGCGCCAGGGCCGACGCCATCTCTGGTTGAAGGGCCCGGAGGCGGCGCTTCGGCGGGGGCCCGCGGGCGGGCGGCCGGGGACGTTGAGCGCGAGCGGGCGGGCGACGCCGCGGCGCGGGCGCGGGGGCCGGCGGGGAGCGCGGAAGGGGGGCGCGAGTGACGCAAGAGCGGCGCGGGCGCAGAGCCTGCCTGAGCACGCGTCGTCTCCCTGGAGGCCTCGCTCTCCCCGCGAGTTGCCCTTGCCAAGTCCCGCCGGGGTATTAAATAAATTTTACTCTGAGTTTGTCCCCTGGGCTTTTCTTCGCGGCGCTCGCGATGGCGTCTGAGCGTTATGCGCCGGGATCGGCACTGGGGAGGTGCCTCCGCAGCGTCGGGGATGCCTTCGTTCGGGCGTCGACCTGCTATGACGCGGAACCTTAGTGGGTTCCGACGGCAGCGACCATGCGGAAGCCGTCGAACCCGACGTCGGTCGGCTCGAGCTCCCGAGGGGCAGCCCGAGGCGCCTGGGGTGGGGCCACGCCGCCCGAGATGGTCTGGACCCGACCCCATGGTGGTATGGAACGGATCGAGACCATCTCGGGCGGCAGGGGCAGCCCCAGACACCCCACGGCCACCGTCGGGACGAAACGCCGTCAGAGCTCGGCCCGGTGGACTCGACGATTTCGGGCTCCCCCGAGGAACCCGCCGCCTTGGATGCGACGGGATCGATGACGAACGATCTCCGCTGCTGCGATGGCTCGAAAACTATCTTAGAGAGGTCGCGAGGGGGCAGCGCGTCCCTTCCCACCCACTCTACCTCCCCGATCCAGTCGCCACGCGGTCGTATGAGCGTCGCGTCTTCGCATGTGCCTCACCCTCGTCCTTGCGGCCCTCGCAGCTGCTGGGATCGTTGCACAATTCTGCATATTCGCGGAGCGGCGGGCCCTCAAAGACGGCCATCCCATCGCAGCGCGCCGCCAAAACGCTGCACAATGTCGATCATGAAGCACGGAGGACATTCGATCGACTTTACCCCGGCGGGAGTGAGGATTGCCGTGCCGTCTTGCCGGCGCCTGGACTCAGACGCCTACTCAGGCTCGTACTCGCTCCGGCACTCCCCTGATTACCACCGCCCCCCGAGCGTGCGTCCGTGGCCCGAGAAGGGGACGAAGTCGGGCTTCACGCGGTGCTGGGCCGGCCGCGGCGGCGGCGGCGGCGGCGCGTCGCGCGCCGCGAGGACGTCCGTCGCGTGGGCGTACGCGGCGCTGAGGCGGTCCATCATCATGGCGAAGTCCGGCGCGGCGCGGGGCGCCGGCGCGCCCGCCTCCGGCAGGATCGCGAGCGCGTGGGCGTAGGTCGCGTTCGCGTCCTCGAGCTGGCGGAGCACGTCCTCGAAGCCGGCGTCGACGGGGGCCCAGTCGACGGGCCGCCGCCGCGGCGCCGCCGCCTCCTCCTCCGCCTCCTCCGCCGGCGCCGGCGCCGGCGCGTCGTCGCTCGACGCCGACGCGGCGTCGAAGAGCTTGTTCGCGACGGACGCGACCGCGGCCGCCGCGGCGCCCTCGGCGACGGCGGCGGCGGCGGCCGCCGCGCCCGCGCCCTCGGCCTCCGCGACGTCCGCCGCCGCGGCGCGGAGCGTCGCGCAGCGCGTCGCCTCCTCCTCGCGGGCCACGTCGACCATGGACGCGCGCGCCTCGCGCCGGCCCCGCTCGGCGACGTCCGCGGCGGCCGCCGCGAGGCCGCCGGCCGCGCCGGCGTCCTCGGCCTCGGCGACGTCGCCCGCAGCGGCGGCGAGCGCGGCGGCCGCGCCGCCGGCCGCGCGCTCCTGTTGCTGGAGCCGCGCGGCGGAGGCGACGAGCGCCGACGTCGCGCGCGGCGCGGGCGCCGCCGCGTGGTCCGGCGGCGCGGCGCGCTTGGGGCTCACGGGCGCGAGCGGCGACCGCGGCGACCGCGGCGCCGCGAGGGGCGGCGCCGCGAGGGGCTCGCCGCGCGGCGACCGCGGCGCGCCGAGGGCCGGCGGCGCGTGGGCGACGGGCGCCAGGGACGGCGTGTCGACGTGCGCCGGCGCGCGGGGCGCCACGGGCGTCCGGGGCAGCGGGCGGCCCGGGGCCTTGCCGAGGAGCGCGGCGGCGGCGCCGTCCATGGGCGGCGACGGCTTCGGCGGCGACGCCGTGCCCAGCGGGGGCGCGAGCGCGCCCTTTGGGGGCGACCCGCCACCGAGCAGGGCGGCGGCGGCCTGCTCCATCGCGTGCAGGGACGGCAACAACGACGGCAACGCGTATCCTTTTAGCGCCGCCGAGGGAGAGCTGCCCGGAGTTACGCGCTCTCGAAGTTTAGGCCGTCAGCGCCGCCGCCGGCCCGCTTTGCGACTTGGCGTTCGAAACGACCGAAGCACCATGGGCGCCGGCGCGAGCACGAACGCGCACACGACGGCGCTGCCCGAGGCCGTCGAGCTCCTCGGCGACAAGTACAAACCCTTCGCGGCGAAGATCCAAGCGCTGGGCAAGCCCGAGGAGGAGCTCGCGGGCCTCGAGCCCGAGGCGCTCCTCGTCGAGCTCGGCGTCCCCGCCGACGACCCGCAGCACATGCTCTACGCCGCGGAGCTCAAGCGCTTCAAGAAGCAGCGCCAGCGCGAGTACGAGGGCATGACCGTGCTCCACGGCCAGTCCGCGTCCGCGCCGGACCTCGCGGCGGAGACGCCGCCGGCGGCGGAGACGCCGGCGGCCGAGACGCCCGCGGCGGAGACGCCGGCCGCGGAGACGCCCGCGGCCGAGGAGCCGGCCGCGGAGACGCCCGCGGCCGAGGAGCCCGCGGCGGAGACGCCGGCCGCGGAGACGCCCGCGGCGGAGACGCCCGCGGCCGAGGAGCCGCCGGCGGAGCCCGCGGCGGAGGCCGCCCCGGCGGCCGGCGAGGGGGAGGCGGCCGCCGCCGCATAGGGCGCTCCATCCGCCCCCGGCGACCGCGCCAGTGCGGCCGCACTAACGACGTAGCATCCGAGTCGTCGGCGAGCATCGTCCGCCCGACGCCGTACCGAAGATGATCCCCGTCACGCGCCGAAGGCAGGCCCGGGCGACGTTACGAGCGCCGCGCGAGGACCCGGGCGACGTTGTAGAGCGCGAGCGCGAGGAGCAGCCCCGCGGCCGCGCGCTTCGCGTCGTCCTCGCGGCGCCGCCGCCGCGCGCGCGCGTCCCGCGCCGCCCGCGTCGCCGCCAGCGCCGCGACGCGCGCGTCGCGCTCGCGCCGCGCGTCGCCGAGGAACGCGAGCGCCGTGGCCTCGCCGCCGAGCGCGGCGGCCGCGAGATGGTAGAGCGCGGCGGCCGGCGACGGCCGCGCGAGCGTCGCGTCGCCGTGGAGGAGCATGAAGCCCAGGGCCCGGTGCGCCTCGCGCATGAGGGCCGCGGCCGGCGGCGGGTCCCGCGGCGCGGAGGCGGGCAGCGCGGCGAAGAGCGCGTCGGAGCCGTCGCGGAACCGCGCGGGCCCGGCGTCGCCGGCCGCGGCGCCGGCGTCGTCGAAGACCTCGCCGTCGAGCGCGGCCTCGAGCCGCCCCAGGGCCGCGGCGTGCGCGGCCTCGGCGCCGCGCGGCGGCGCCGCCTCGCAGAAGAGGCCGTCGCCCTGGCGTTTGAACCGCGCGAGTCCCATCGCGCCGCAGATGCGGTTGCAGCGGTGCGTCGCGAAGAAGAGCGCGATGCCCCGGGGCCCGCCGTTGCCCACGCCGAAGCCCGCGCCGTCGCGCGTGTGGACCTGGGGGTCCGTGAAGAGGTCGCCGACGCCTGGGCAGCAAAAGGGTGATTCAACGTCGCTTCAACGTGAGTGTTCCGCGCGCGCGCGTTCCGGGAAAAGCATCCACGCTTCGAGACCGTTCCGAGAGATGATCGCTCGTCCAAAAATCAGCCGAAACGAGTGGAAAACGGCCGAGATCGGAGCCTTTGAAGTTGGGAATTTCGCTCTCTTTTGCTGCCCTGGCCGACGCCCTGGACGTCGACGACGAGGCGCGCGCCGCCGGTCTCGCAGAAGGTGAAGTGGCTGAAGGCCTGGGGCGTCGCCCGCGCGACGTGGTCGCGGTCGTTGACGTAGCCCGCGTTGCCGTTGTGCTTCACGAAGTCGCCCTCGACGTAGGCCTCCATGAAGTAGCACGGCCGGCCCGGCCGGTCTTTGAAGACGACGAGCGACGCCTCGAGCATGTCGACGCACTTGAGCTTCATGGGCTGGGGCGCGCGCCGGTCGAACTCGCCCGCGTCGAAGAGGCGCCGGAGCCGCGCGTTGTACCGCGCGGCGAGCGCCTTGGACTCGGCCTGCATCTGCGCGTCGACCTCGAGCATGGTCCGGAGCCGGTCGCCGCCGCCGCGCGCCTTGCCCGGCTTGTAGGTCTTGAGCACGTAGTTGCGCTGGTACCTGTGTGGAATCATTTGAAGTTCTCGAGCTCGGCCACGTCGAAGTCGATTCGGCTGATTTTTGGACGGATCGATTGCTCTCGTCGAGTTCTCGAAGCAGAGCCGAAGCGTCTGATTCTAACCGTTTGAATACGCTCATAGTGAAGTCGGGTTGAAGATGTCCACACGGGTCCGTACCGCCACGACGCGTGCTTGGACCCGAGCGCCGCGTGGCGCACCGTCGCCCGCGAGCTCATCTTCTTCGCGTGGTAGCACATGCGCATCGAGCCCTCGGCGAAGGGCGCGGGCGCGACCTTGAGCCGCGCGACGTCCTCGACCCAGGCGCCGCCGACCCACCGCAGCCGCAGCACCGTCTCCTCCGGCCGCTCGTGGAGGTCCAGGTGCGCCAGGGGGTCCGCCTCGAAGAGCTGCTCGCGCGCCATGCGCGCGCCGCGCTTCCACAGCTCCCGCACGCGCGCGCGCATCACGTCCTCGCCGGACAGCGTCCGCGACCGGTGGTCTTGATCTCCGGATCGCGCCGCCATGGCGCGTCGAGCTCTGGGCAACAGCACGGCATCAACCTCTTCACCCATTACCCTTCATCATCGCCTCGCACGGCGCCTGGTTGCACTCGGATCCCGTGCACGCGCCTCGACAAGCAGCGGGCAGCCTCAATCTCCAAATCCCTTCGCCGCCAGTTGCGCGCTATTCTACCATACTGGCATTCAAGCTCACGATCCTCGCGCGTCCGTGGGGTCGTGCTACGACAGCACGACCCACGTGGTCACCTGCGACACAGACAACTCGACGTGCGTTACGGCTGGGAACTACTGGTACGCGCCGGGCTACATGTCGTCCTACTCCGGCTGCTGCCACTGCGACTCGGGCTGCGACCACAGCGCCGAGACGAGCACCGACTGCTCCTACTACGACACGCCCAGCAGCGACGGCTCCTGCTACGACTCCACGACGCACGTCGTCACCTGCGCCGCGCCGCGTCCGCGAAAGAAGGCAAAGGGGGGCCGCCGGTCACGCGCGCGCCCCGTCGCGCGCGCGCCCTCGCGCGCCTCCGCGGCGACCCCCGCGTCTTCGCAGGCGACGTCGCCGAGGAGAACTGCGACAGCTACTGGTACGCGCCGGGCTACATGTCGTCCTACTCGGGCTGCTGCCACTGCGACGAGTCCTGCGACCACACGGCGGAGACGGGCACCAACTGCCAGGCGTCCTACTACGACGAGGACTCCATCGACGGCTCCTGCTACGACATGACGACGCACGTCGTCACGTGCGACGCGCGGGCCCGCGCGGCATTCGAATCTTCGACCCGACTTCAACGGGAGCGTGCGCGACGGGTTCGAAGTACGCGTGCGCTCCGTGGCGTCCGAACACTCGCGCGCGTCCGAAGCTCGGCCGCGTCGACGTCGACGCGACCTCGCGCGTTCCGACGTGCGGCCGGGACGTTTCGACCGCCGCGCAGGTGCCCGCGGAGGGCTGCACCTACCACTACGAGCCGGGCTACGTCGGCGGCAGCGGCTGCTGTCACTGCCAGCAGGGCTGCGACCACTCGCTCGAGACGGCGACGGACTGCACGTACTACGACCCCGCGCCGACGGCGGCGCCGACGACGGCCTTCGACGCCGTCGACGACGACGCGCTCCAGACGGCCTGCGACGCCAAGGTCCAGTCCTACTACGGCTGCCTCGGCATCACCGTCGACGACGCCGACGACGCCGACGACGACGACGACGACGACGACGACGACGACTACAGCGTCAACTCGTGCGCGGAAATCAACCACTGGTTTGGGGGGTCCCCACCAAACTTCAGAACTCTCTATCTCGATCAAATCGAAGTCGATTCGGCTGATTTTTGGACGAATCGATTGCTCTCATCGAGTTCTCGAAGCTCAGCCGAAGAGTCCGGCGCAATCCGTTCAATTACGCGCACATTGAAGTCTGGTTGAATATTTGATTTCCACACAGGTCAACTCGTGCGCGGACGCGACGGCCGCGGAGAGCCCCTTCTGGGGCATGTGCGACGGCAACCCCATGGACGACGGCTCGTGCCAGGACGACTGGGAGGCCTACGTGGAGTGCATCTACGACGAGGGCATGGAGCTCGCGTTCGGCCTCGACTGCGGCTTCACGTGCGACGTCGTCGAGGAGTCCGTCGCGGGCTCCATGACCGTGTCCGGCACGACGCTCGCCGTCGCCGAGTCCCAGGAGCCCGTCTACGAGGAGGCCATCGCGGCGTCGGCGGGCAACGGCGTCGTCAAGGCCGACGTGACGGCGACGTTCGCGGAGGCGCGGCGCCGCCGGCTCTCGACGGAGATCGTCGTGTCCTACACGATCGCGACGGACTCGGCGACGACGGACAGCATCGTCGCCACCATGGCCTCGCTGACGGCGACGGACATGGACGCCGCGCTCACGACGGCCGCGCTCGCGGTCTCCGAGACGTGGGACGGCACGACGGAGTCGGTCACCGCGCCGGAGGAGGTCGACGACGACCTCGACGGCGCGGCGACGCTCGGCCTCGCCGGCGTCGCCGCCGCACTCGCCGCGGCCGTCGCCGCGCTCTAGGGCCGCGCTCCCGCGCGCGCCTTCCGCGATGTCCCCCCCGCGATGTCCCCCCCGATCGTGCGACGCGCACGCCCCGCCGCGTCTCGACGACTCGCGCGGGCCCGCGCCCCGGCCGGACCCCCCCGTCCGCGCCCTACGGCCCCGAGTCCCGCCGCAACGCCCCTCTCCCCGACCCCGTTTAGCCGCGAGCTTTGGATCAACTTGGCGTCAACTTGAGGTTAAACAAGTTCGCCGCTCGCCTCGGCGCTGGGCTCGAGCTGGCCGCGCCGCGTCGCCGTCGTCGGTGATCCCGTGGTCGGCACGGCCGTCGAGGGCGGCGCCGTCGTCGCCGTCGCCGGCGAATCGGCGTCCTCATGGTCGGCGACCTCTTCGCGGCCGACGCGGACACGGCGAGCGACTGCGACGACGAGCCGGACGAGCGCGACGCGGCGGCGACGACGGTCCTGACTTTTGGCGCCCTGACCGTGCGCGTCGTCGAGGCCGCCGGCGCCTTCGGCGGCAGCGGCGCGGACCAGTCGGGCAACGTCGTCTGGGGCGCGGCGGCGGCGCTCGCCGAGGAGCTCGAGGGCCGCGACTTCGCCGGGAAGACCGTCGTCGAGCTCGGCTGCGGCTGCGCCGTGGTCAGCGTCGTCGCCGCGAAGCGCGGCGCGGCGCGCGTCGTCGCGACGGACGCGTCGCCGGCGGTGCTCCGGCGCGCGGGCCGCACGCTCGCGCTCAACGACTGCGGCGCGGCCGCGTCGACGGCGGCGCTGGACTGGGAGCGCTGCCTCGGCGACGGCGGCGACGACGCGGCCCCCGAGGACCTCCGCGCGATCGCCGACGTCGTCGTCGCGCGCGGCTCCGGGTCCGAACCGCGCGCGCGCGCGCGCGGGGCGATGGGCGAGACACCCACGATTTCTGTTCTCCGAACGAGTCCCTTGAGCGGGACGCACTCTTGGTGACACCATACAAATAGACGCCGACCCCCCCGCGGTCCGCGAAACCCGCCGCCGCGCGCCGCCGTCGCGCGGCCGCGCGACCGCCCGGCCCCCGGCAGGTCCGACGTCGTCTACGGCGAGGACGCCGTGCCCGCGCTCGTCGCCGCCGTCGCCCACGTCGCCCGGCCCGGCGCGGACGTGCTCGTCGCCGCGCGCGACGGCCGCCGCGGCGTCGACCTCTTCCTCGCGGTCGCGCGCGAGGCCTTCCTCGAGACGCGACCGCCGCGCGCCGCGGCGCCGGCGGCGGGCCGCGCGCGCGGCGACGGCCACGCGCTCTACTTCTTCGCCAACGCGCCGCCCGCGGCCGACGTCGCGCCGCTCCGCCGCGGCGCCCCGGGCGCCGCCGAGGCCGAGACGCTCGCGAAGCTCGCGGAGAAACGCGCGGAGCTCGCCGGCTGCAAGGCGGACGTGGCGGCGCTCCAGGGCGACCTCCGGGCCATGGCCGAGACCGTCAAGGCCGACATGGACGCGCTCATCGCCGCGTTCGCCGCGCACGTGAGCGGCGCGCTCCCGCCGGGCGAGCCGTTCGTGCCGCCGCCCCGCGGCGACCTGCCGGAGATCCCGCCGCCCCCCGGCGACGCGGACGCGGCGGGGGACGAGGGCGCGGCGTCATGATTACTACGACGGCCGGGAATGCGCGGGCCAAGGAGGGCGCGCCGTATCGCGGATAGTCGCACTGTCGATGCACCATCGCATCAACCAGCGAGTTTGCTGAACTCCACACTGGCGATGGCGGCTTCGCTCCTCTTGCTCTGCGCGAGCGTCGCCGCGGCGCTCCTCCGCGCGCCGCCTCCGTGTCGCGGTCCGGTGCGCCTGTCGGCCTTCGACGCCGAGGCGCTGCGGGCCGAGTTCCCGGCGCTGCACCAGCGGACCAACGGCCGCGACCTCATCTACTTCGACAGCGGCGCGACGTCCCAGAAGCCGGCGCGCGTGCTCGGTGCGCTGGAGAAATTCTACGCGCGCGACAACGCCAACGTGCACCGGGGCGCGCACGCCCTCGCGACGCGCGCGACGGACGCGTACGAGGCCGCGCGCGACAAGGTCGCGGCGTTCGTCGGCGCGCGCCGCGACGAAATCGTCTGGACGCGGGGCGCGACGGAGGCCATCAACCTCGTGGCCCAGGCCTGGGGTCCCTCGAACCTCGGCGCCGGCGACGAGATCGTGCTCACGGAGCTCGAGCACCACTCGAATCTCGTGCCGTGGCAGCTCCTCGCGCGGCGCACGGGCGCGAAGATCCGCTACGCGCGGCTCGACGCGGATGGTGCCGGCGTCGACGAGGCGCACCTCCTGGCGCAGATCAACGGCCGCACGAAGCTCGTCGCGCTCGTCCACGTGTCCAACGTCCTCGGCTCCGTCGCGCCCGTCGCCGCCGTCGTCGCCGCGGCGAGAACTCGCGGCGCGCCGGGCTGCGCGGTGCTCCTCGACGCCTGCCAGTCCGCGCCCCACGCGCCCCTAGACGTGGGTGCGCTCGGCGTCGACTTCCTCGCGGCGAGCGGCCACAAGATGTGCGGGCCCACGGGCATCGGCTTCCTCTACGGCCGCCGCGAGGTCCTCGCGGCGATGGACCCGTGGCAGGGCGGCGGCGAGATGATCGCGGACGTCTTCCTCGACGACGGCGAGACGACCTTCGCGGACCCGCCGGCGCGCTTCGAGGCCGGCACGCCGCCCATCGCCGAGGCCGTGGGCCTCGGCGCCGCCGTCGACTTCCTCGCGGACGTCGGCATGGAGCACGTCGCGGCGCACGAGGCGGCCCTCGGCGCGCGCCTCTACGACGGCCTCGCGGCCTTCGGGGACCGGCTCGAGCTCTACGGCCCGACGGACGCCGCGGACCGCGGCGCGGCCCTCGTCGCGTTCAACGCGAGGGGCGTCCACGCGGCGGACCTCGCGACGTTCCTCGACCTCGAGGGCGTCGCGGTTCGCGCGGGCCACCACTGCACGCAGCCGCTCCACGCGCGCCTCGGCGCGCCGGGCGGCTCCGTCCGCGCGAGCCTCGCCCTCTACAACACGGCCGACGAGGTCGACGCGTTCCTCGCGGCGCTCGCGCGCGTCCTCGATGACTTCGACGGCGCCGGCGACGACGACTTCGCCCCCCTGGACCTCGGCGCCCTCTAAGGGACGGCGCTAGAGCTCGCGGCGGCCGGCGGGGATCTCGCGCGTCGCCGCGCACTTGGCGAGCGTGAGGCGGAAGATGAGGACGCTGTGCGGCGGCACGCCGGGCTTCGCCTTCTCCTTGTAGCCCAGCTCGGGCGTGCAGACGATCTCCCACGTGGACCTGGCGCGCGGGGCGCCTCGGGGCCCGCGCGACTCGCGCGGCGCGCGGCGCGGCGCGCGCGCCCGATCTCCATCCAGTTCATGGCCTCCTCCCAGCAGGGCATGACGTTCTTCGCGACGACCTTGAGGGGCTTTTTTTTGTTCTTCTCCCAGAGGATGGGCTGGCCCCGCGGGTACTCCTCGGACGTCCAGCCCTCGCCCAGGATCCGGCACTCCGTGAGCGGGCCGTACGCCTGCAAGCCGGTCTTGCCGGGCTCGAGGATCTTGTACCTGCGCGCCGCGCCTCGGCGCGGTGCGCGCGGCGGCGGCGCGGTGCGCGCGCCGGAAGCCGTTGCTCCGGTAGACCATGTCCGGCTCCGTCTCGTCGTAGCGCTCGATGAACCGGACGCCCTGCTCGCCCGCCTTGGTCCACCAGACCGGCTCCCAGGGCACGGGCTCCCAGGGCCCGTCCTCCTCGTCGTCCCACTCCGGCGGCCGGCCGTCGTCCGCCGCGCCGGCGACGGCCAGAGCGCCCAGCAGCGCCAACCATCGCACCATCGCGCCTCCCCCAGCCACGCGGCGGGCAGCCACAAGAGCAAACTCAGAAGAATCGCGCGCCGCGTTGCGGGCACCGTTAACGTCAGCGTACCCTTCAACGACGAGGCCAACGCCGCCGAGCGACCTCCTTCCTAGCGCCAGCACGTTAGTCCAAAGGGCGCGCCGCGCGGCGCCGGGCACGCCGTGCGGTTGGCGGCGCGGCGCCGGCAGGCCGCCGCGAGCGCGTCGCCGCGGAGCCGCGGCTCGGCGGACGTCGGCGGCGCGCCGTCGTCGTCGACGGACGTGCAGTCCGCCTCGACGAAGGAGTCGGCACCGGGGCCGCCGTCGCCGGCGAGGCAGTAGGCGCCGAGGGGCCACCCCTTGACGTTGAGCAGGGGCGCGCCGGCGCCCGCGAGGTCGCGCGCCTGTGTGGAAACCGAGCGGTTGGTTTCTCTAGCTCGGTCACATCGAAGTCGATTCGGCTGATTTTTGGACGGATCGATTGCTCTCGTCGAGTTGTCGAAGCCCAGCTGAAGAGCTTGTGTCAAAACATTCGAATACGCTCACATTGAAGTCGGGTTGAAGATTTGGTTTCCACACGGTCGCGCGCGAGCGTCGAGAACGTCGACCCGAACGTGCCGACGAGAACGCGCGCCCGCGCGAGGAGGAGCAGGTCCAGGAGCGCGCGCGCCGTGACGTCGCGCCAGGCCGGGTCCCCGGTCCTCCCGCCGAGCATGGACACGTGCGCGCCGTTGGGCCCCCGGTCGTCCGCCGCCGCGGGGAGCGCGACGACGGCGTGCCGCCGGCCGACCGCCGCGACGGACTCGGGCGAGAACGCCGCGACGAACCAGGGCGCGGCACCGCCGACGCCGGCCGCGCAGGCCGCGGCGAGGTCCGCGGGCGCGTCCGAGGAACCTGTGCCGAATTCGACCACTGGTGTGGGTGGTCCTGACCAAACTTGAGAATTCTCTAGCTCGGTCACATCGAAGTCGATTCAGCTGATTTTTGGACGAATCGATTGCTCTCGTCGAGTTCTCGAAGCACAGCCGAAAGAGCTCGCGTCGAAACGGTCGCATATGCTCACATTGAAGTCGGGTTGAAGATTTGAATTCCACGCAGCGAGGAACGCTGGCGCCTCGCGCGGACGTGCACGCCCGCGCCGTAGGCGCCGAGCGACCGGACCGCGGCGCAGTGCGCCGCGTCGAGCGCCGCCGTCGCCCGGAAGCTGCCTGGGCGGCGCGGCGGTGAGACCTCGTCGGCGCGCTCGCGGACGAGCGACCCCCTCTCGGAGCGGTCCGTTTCGGCGCCGGAGGCGGCAGCGGTACGCGGCGCTCCGGGCGTGCCGGAACGCCGCCTCGGCGCCGGCGCCGCAGGGCGCCGGGCCGAGGAGCGACGCGACGTCGATCGACGGGTCCGCCGCGAGCTCGTGGAGGAAGCTGCGGTGGCAGTCGCACCGCACGCGGCCGGCCGCGCGCGCCGCCGCCGCCGCGGACGCCGCGAAGAAGCCGCGGTCGCAGGGCAGCCCCCGCGCCGGCGCCGCGCAGGCGGCCGCGTCGCCGTAGGCCCAGCCGCCCGCGGGCTCCAGGAACGGCGCCAGCACGCCCGCATCGCAGACGACGAGCGACCGGTTCGAGAGAAACGCGAGGGCCCTCATGGTGACGAAACCGGCGAAGACGTTGCCCAGGCCGTGGCGGATGCGCTTCGAGAAGGCGTCGTAGACGAGCACGCCGCGGCCGGCGTCCGCCGGCGGCGCGAGCCAGCCGCCGCAGAGCGGCGCGGCCATCGGGCTGCCCGAAGCCACCGCAACGAGAAGTGCAAGCACCTCTCCGGGCGAGTCGTCGAATCGCAAAACGCATGCGACAAATGTCGTCGCGGTGAGACACACCATGGCGCGGGCGCGGTCTCCGCCCCGCTTCTTTTGCTTCATCTGCGTCCTCCTGGGCCTGAGCGTCTGGTGCGTCCTCGCCCTCGTCGTCCTGGACCGCAAGTCGCGGGCCACGGGCCTCGTCGTCGGACGGTCGAAGTCGGCCCGGGTGCGGGCCACGCTCGCCCGCGCGAACGCGCGCTACATCCACACCGTCCGCGACGCCCTCGACGCCGCGCTCGACCTCTTCGACGACGACGCGCACGACGACGCGGCGCCCGGCGCCGACGCCGACGCCGCGCGCCAGGTGCGGGCCACGCTCGACCGCGAGCAGGCGGCGCTCGCCCACGGGCTCCGCGACGCCCTCGACGCCGCCTTCGACCTCTTCGACGACGACGCGCACGACGACGCGGCGCCCGGCGCCGACGCCGCGGCCGCGCGCGAGATGCGCGATTGGGTCGAGGACCGCGAGGCCGCGGTCGTCCACGGCGTCCGCCTGTGTGGAAATCAAATCTTCAACCCGACTTCAATGTGCGCGTATGCGACCGATTTGGACCAGACTCTTTCGCTGTGCTTCGAGAACTCGATGAGAGCAATCGATTCGTCCAAAAATCAGCCGAATCGACTTCGATTTGACCGAGATAGAGAGTTCTGAAGTTTGGTGGGGACCCCCCAAACCAGTGGTTGATTTCCACACAGGCGTCCGCGGCGCGCTCAACGGCGCCTTCGACCTCTTCGACGACGACCCGGCCGGCCGCGCAGGCCCGGTCGACGAGCGTCCGGACGACGACGCGGCGGCGGGGTAACAGCGGGCGATCCGAGCATTTCTTGGTCCGCGTGGAATCTGCTAGACATCGGGGGGCGGGCCGGTCGGGGACGTCCGGCGCAACCTTACGAAGTACGATGGGAGGGCGGGGGCTCTATCGGCGCTTGTTGCGGAGCGCGGCCGCGGCCTCGGCGGCGTTCTTGTACTTGCTCTCGCGCTTCCCGCCGAGGTCGACGCCGAGCGCGCCCGCGAGGCCCGACGCGCGGTCCGCGGCGGACTTGGGCGCCGCGGGCTTCGGCTTCGGGGCCGCGGGCTTCGGCGGCGGCGCCTTCTTCGCGGCTGGCTTCGGCGGCGGCGGTGCCGCCTTCGCGACGGGCTTGGGCGCGGGCTTGGCTCCGCCGCCGCCGAAGAAGTTGAACGCCGGCTTGGGCGCGGCCGCCGGCTTGGGCGCGGCCGGCTTGGGCGCGGCCGGCTTGGGAGAACCGAAGAAGGAAAACGCGGGAGCCGCCTTCGGCGCCGCCGGAGCCTTGGCGGCGTCGGCCTTGGCCTTGGCAGCGGCGTCGGCCTTGGCCTTGGCGGCGGCGGCATCGGCCTTGGCCTTCGCGGCGGCATCGGCCTTGGCCTTGGCGGCCGCGTCCGCCTTGGCCTTGGCAGCCGCGTCCGCCTTGGCCTTCGCGGCCGGGTCAGCGGCGGCCGGAGCGCCAAAGAACGAGAAGGCGGGCGGCTTGGGCGCGGCAGTCTTCGCCGGCGGCGGCTTGGGCGCGGCCGGCTTGGGAGCACCGAACGAGAAGGCGGGCGGCTTGGGCGCCGCCGGCTTGGGCGCCGGCGTCTTGGGCGCGGCCGGCTTGGGAGCGCCAAAGAACGAGAAGGCGGGCGGCTTGGACGCGGCCGGCTTCGGCGCCGGCGGCTTGGGCGCGGCCGGCTTGGGAGCACCAAACGAGAAGGCGGGCGGCTTGGGCGCGGCCGGCTTCGGCGCCGGCGTCTTGGGCGCGGGCGGCTTGGGCGAACCGAAGAAGCTGAACGCGGGAGCTTTCGGCGCCGCGGGAGCCTTGGTGGCAGCGGCCTTGGCCTTGGCAGCACGGTCCGCTTCAGCTTTCGCCTTGGCGGCGGCGTCTGCCTTGGCCTTTGCGGCAGCGGCGTCGGCTTTGGCTTTCGCGGCGCGGTCGGCCTCGGCTCGGAGCTTCGCGGCGGCGTCGGCCTTGGCCTTGGCAGCCGCGTCCGCCTTGGCCTTGGCAGCGGCGTCGGCCCTAGCCTTGGCAGCGGCGTCGGCCTTGGCCTTGGCAGCCGCGTCCGCCTGGGCCTTCGCGGCGGCGACAGCCTGAGCCTTGGCAGCCGCGTCGGCCTTCGCCTTCGCAGCGGCGTCGGCCCTAGCCTTGGCAGCCGCGTCGGCCTTGGCCTTGGCAGCCGCGTCCGCCTTGGCCTTGGCAGCCGCGTCGGACGCGGGCGCGGGCTTGGGGGCCCCGAAGCTCGGGAACGAGAACGCGGGAGCCTTGGGCGCGGGCGGCTTCGGCGGCGCGGCGGCCTTGGGCGGCGCGGGCTTCGCCACGGGCTTGGGCGCGGGCTTGGGGAAGCTCGGGAACGAGAACGCGGGGGCCTTGGGCGCGGGCGGCTTCGGCGGCGCGGCGGCCTTGGGCGGCGCGGGCTTCGCCACGGGCTTGGGCGCGGGCTTGGGGAAGCTCGGGAACGAGAACGCGGGCTTGGGGAAGCTCGGGAACGAGAACGCGGGGGCCTTGGGCGCGGGCGGCTTCGGCGGCGCGGCGGCCTTGGGCGGCGCGGGCTTCGCCGCGGGCTTGGGCGCGGGCTTCGCCACGGGCTTGGGCGCGGGCTTGGGGAGCTCGAAGCTCGGGAACGAGAACGCGGGGGCCTTGGGCGCGGCCGGCTTGGGCGCGGGCGGCTTCGGCGGCGCGGCGGCCTTGGGCGCGGGCGGCTTCGGCGGCATGGCGCTCGCGACGCGGGAGCCGAGCTTGGGCGCGGCGGCCTTCGTTTCCTTCTTCGCGGCGGGCTTCGGGAACGACGGGAACGAGAAGCCGGGGACGCGGCCGTCGCCCGGCGCCTTGGCCGCGGGGGGCGCCTTGGGCGGCGCGGCGGCCTTGGGCGGCGCGGGCGCGGGCGTCGGCGTGGGCGCGGGCTTGGGCAGCCCGAGCGACGGCAGCGAGAGCCCGGCGGGCGGCTTCGGCTTCGGCGCCGGCGGCGCGGCGGTCGCGGCCTTGGCGTCGGCGTCGAGCTTGGCCTTGGCGGCGGCGGCGGCGGCGGCCTCGGCCGCGCGCGCGGCGGCGGCGGCCTGGGCCTCGGCGGCCCGGGCGGCCTCGGCCTTCTGGAGTTCGGCGGCCGCCGCCGCGCGCGCCGCCGCGGCCTCGCGCCGCTTCGCGAGCGTCGCCTCGGCCGCCGCCGCGGCGTCGGCCGCGAGCCGGAGCTCGCGCTCGATGAGCGACTCCGCCTGCGCGGCCGCCGCCTTCTTCTCCGCGGCGGCGGCGGCCTTGTCGGCGGCGGCCCCCTCCGCGGCCGCGCGCTCCGCGATCGCCTTGAGCGACTTCTTCTGCTCCTCGATGTAGTCGCCCTTCGCCGGCGCCGCGGCCGGCGGCGGCGGCGGCACGGGGTTCTGCTTCTTCGCGGCCGGCGCGGGCTTCGGCGCGGGCGCCGGCGCGGGCGCCGCGGCCGCGACGGGCTTCGCGACGGGCGCGGGCGCGGGCTTCGGCGCGGGCGCCGCGGCGACGGGCGCCTCCCCGACGCGCAGGCCGAAGTCGTGGAACGAGACGACGCCGGTCTCGTCGCACGCGGCGCGCCACGCCGCGACGGACGGCGCGTCGCCGGCCTCGACCGCGATGGGCACCGTCGCCGCCGCTTTGTCGGCGACCGACTTCAAGGCTGCGCACGGCGCCTTCCGCGGACCCTGCGGGAGGAACGCCGACGTCGTCGCGACGACCGCCAGCGCGATGAGGCGATGCAAAGTCCGAGCCATCGCAGCGAGGATCGAGACTCAACCTGAGACGTACTTCACTGTAAGGTCAACGAGCGCTGTTGCTGCGGCGCTCTGCGGGCTTAACTTTAGGCCTCACACGAAGGCGTCGGAGTCGGAGTCGGAGCTGT